AGCCCGATGCGGGACTCGATCCAGGGACTCCAGGATCATGACCTGAGCCGAAGGCAGTCGCTTAACCAACTGAGCCACCCAGGCGCCCAACAATAAAGGTTTCTAATTAACAGAACCTGATGGAAGAATCAAATCTTCTTGATAAAATTTACATCGTAATATGTGCTTCAGGACAACTCAATTTGGTAAAAATAATGGACATCAAAGAAGAGGTTATATATAGTCATAAAACTACAACACCAAGAGGCTCCTGGGTGGCTCAGTCAGTTGGGCATCTGGCTCTTGATCTCAGCTCAGGTCTTGATCTCAGGGTAGCGAGTTAGTGCCCTGCAATGGGCTCCATGCCAGGCGTGGAGCCTACTTAAAAAAATAAACAAAAAAAACACTGGGATGCCTGGGTGGCTCAGTCAGTTAAGCATTTGCTTTCTGCTCAGGTCATGATCCCAGGGTCCTGGGATCAAGTCCCACATTAGGCTCCTTGCTCAGTGGGAAGCCTGCTTCTACTTCTCCATCTGCCTGCTGCTTCCCCTGCTTGTGGGCTCTCTCTCTCTCTGACAAAAAAACAAAACAAAACAAAAAAACACAACACCAAAATAAAAAGCTACTCAATTAGTCAAATCTTTGTTATAAAATAATAACAAAGGATTAAAAATTTGGTAAAGTAAAAGTGTAAAATAATTAAAAATAGTTTAAAGGCTTAATGAAAAACTGATTAGTCAAAATGCCCTAACGGAGATCATTCTGGAAAATAATTTCTTAAAGAACATTCAGCAAGGCTGGTTAAATGTTAAATTGTATTAAGAACATCAATTCCCTAATGAAATAGATCCTGGCAACGGTTGTCAATGCTGCTAATGCCACAAAAATAGAGAACCTCCTATGCCTCCTGATGGAAGTACTTGACATCTATGATGTCATCTTGCTCCCCTGTCCCCCCAACCAAAAAAATCAAAATGGAATCTGATCAAGCCTCTAAATCTAATTTACATGAAATACACAGAGAGAAAGTAACTCATTAAATTGTGCTGCAGGGATGCAATCATCAAAATCCAGACCAGGGAAACCTACAAACAACCCATTCCCCTCAACAAATAAACAGATGGCAGGACATTCGGATGAAAAGAAGCTGGAGAGAAGCCGCACCCAATTGCAACATTTGGACCTTATAGAGATCCAGATTCAAAACCTAATATAAAAACAAAACAACAAAAAACACTTATGAGAAAATCAAGGTAATTTGAACTGTGGATACTAGATGGTATTAAGAAATTAGTGTGAGACTGTGATTATATTGGGGGAAAAAAAGTATCCTTATGTTTTCATAGATTAATAAATAGAACCACAGACCAGGCTGCTGTATCCCCAGGACCCAAAGCAGCCTGTACTTGAGCAAAGGCCCTTGGGCTGGGAGTCTGGAGCTCTAAGGCTTGGGGCTTCCATAACTGGCCACGTACCCTTTGGACCTCGGTTTCTCCATCTAGAAAATAGGGGGATGAGCTAGACACCACCTGAAGGCCCATAAAGATATAATCCTGGTTTCAGGGCGGTGTTTCCTTTTGCATCTCCTCCTCCTTCCGGGGCCACAGCCCACCTATCATTGACAGTCATACAGTACAGAGGTTTACAGGCCTCAGTCTCCTCCGCTTGTAAAGTTATTGTGAAGAGCAAATTCATGATGATAAACACAGCTGTCATTTATCAAGTGCTTCACCTATGCTAAGCACTGGACCTGGTCCTTCACAAACACCCTTGAAGGAGATATTACAATTAACCACCAGAGTGAGGAGGCAGACTCAGAGGCCAGGAAACTTGGCTCAACGTGCAGACACAGCTCTAAGTGGCAGACTGGGGACATGCTGGAGTTCTGAGCCCAGCTGGTAACCAGTCCGCAGCACTGTCCCCATCATTGCACATGAGGAGCTGGAGTTAAGTGTGCACTGAGGCCAGCAGGCAGCCCTGTTCTTAGTAGGTATGGCATCAAGAGGTGAGCAGGCAGAATGCTGGTGACAGGGAGCTCCACCATGGCCTCAACTGCCAGAGAGCTCTGGCTGAGCAGTGTAACTGGATGCTCTGAAGAAGCAAGCCTGGGCTCCCTCTGCTGGGGTCAGGTGAGAATAGGGTCAATTTCATCCAGAGTGCCCTAGGGTAACCACACAACACTCTCAAGTACAGGGACCACGGCTGCAGCCTGAGGGGGGCGTGGACTGTAAGTGCAGGGTAGAGAACCCAGGGACACCACACCACCAGGCAGCCATGGGAAGAGCCCCAGCCCATGAGGCAGCAGACCTATGCCTTCCTCAGTGGTCTTTGTACAGCCAACACGACGACTCACTGTGCTTGAGTGCCAGGCCAGCCTAGTGCTTTTGTAAGTGAGGCTATTTCACCCCCAGGCTCTCTTGGGTCCTCCTCCCTTCTTTCCACTCCTAGCTGTGGAACAAGACTGCCAGTGTCAGGGGCTTCCTGGAGATGCCCGACCTGTGGCCTTGATTACTGAGCTTCTGCTCACCCTCCTCAAAACCTCCTCTCACAACCTGGGACTGAGCTGAGCTGTGAAGCAAAAATCCCAGCACCTTGGGAGAGAAAAAGTAAAGGATGAGGGCAGCCTAAATTTGTCAACCTAGTAATGTCTGCCAAACTCCATTCCTCCATTCATGCTTTTCCACTGTTCACAAAAAGCTGGTGCTCTGCCCCGCCCACTCAATTTGCCATACATTGAAGTCGTTTTATCATCTACTTCGTAGTAAGAGGACCAACTAAAATCAGTGAGTACTTCCTAAATACCAGTGATGTGCCAGGACTTCTAGGCCATGTGGACATAACAGAAATCAACACAGCCATGCACCTCCTCAGAGCGTGAGGAACCCAGAGCAGCCCATACTGAGGCTCTTCTCACACCCACCCCCATGCCCCACTCTCCACCGCGCCTGCCCAATACCCTGCACTGATGGGGGTGATCAGCTCCGTGGCGGTTGTCACTTTGGCTTTTACCGTCATGATGTTGAGGTTCATGAGGTAGTAGAAAGTCAGGTGAAGTACGCTGTCATCTGAGGGGGGAAGGAAACGAAGACCATGTACAATTTGAACATGAGAGAAAAGTTTATAGTGTTAGGGAACAGAAAGTCAGTAAGGCTTTTAAGAGCTTTTACTGTAAAAATAAGAACTCAATGTCAATTTTATATTGAGTTAAAAAAGAATGTCTACAAATTCCTTGCAACTCCTCTCTCCAAGGGGAGGAGCTTCATTTCCCTCCTCTTGAGCGTGGCCTGGACTTAGCTGCTTCTAACAACTACGATATGGAAAGGGAGCGATCAAGTGATCACCAAGTGGATCCAGGTTCCTGTCATTGGTGATAAGACACAGTGACACCATTTACCCCTGATGTGATGTGATGATGAACACCACGTCTATGGCATTCCTCCCCCAAACCCATAACCTCAGCCTAGTCAGGAGAAAGGACCAGACAAACCCAAATTGAGTCTTTCCACATAATAAACCTTGTCTTCAAAGATGTCAAGGTCATGAAAGACAAGCAAAGACTGAGGAACTATCACTGCCTGGAAGAGACTAAGGGGTAGGACAACTAAATGCAATGGAACCTGCAACAAAGGACATTAGTGGAAAAACCAGGGAAATGTGCATAAATTCTGTAGTTTAGTTAATAACATTATACCAATAAAATTAACATTGGTTTGGATCACTGTACTGTGGTTAAATGCTGACATTAGGGGAAGCTGGATGAAGAGCATGAGAACTCTACTACTGCAACTCTTCTGAGTCTAAAATTATCTCAAAATAACAAATTTAAAAAAAAAAATAAAGAGAGGGCCAGTGTATGGAGTATGTTTCCATTTGTGTAAAAAGTAAAAGAAGGGGATAAATAAACACTTGTATAAAAGTTTCTAAATGCATAGAATAGGTCTAGAAAATACATCAGAAATCTGTCACAATGGTTGTCCTTGGAGGTAAGACCAAGGACAAGAGTCTGGGAGTCTCAGGGAGAGGGAAACTTACATGTAACTGTTAACTCTTATACTGCTAGAATGCTTTATCATATGCTTCTTTATCCATACAAAACCAGTTTCAAAACATATATTCTCTACAGAATACAAACCTCTACTTACATTTGTTACATTAAGCACGTTGGTCTTATTACCCAAAACTTGCATACTCTTGCAACTTGTTCTGTGTATCTGACTTAACAAATTCAGAAATTGGTGTAATTTTACCGAGCATCCATTATGTGTCTAGTTTTGTTGCTTTGTTGTTATGGTTAGGACTTAGAGGGGGAAAAAAAAAAAAATCAAACAAACTCCATGCCAAACCGTGAGGAAAAACAGAGAAATATGAAACCAGAATCTTTTTTTGGTCAAACAGGGCTTTGGCTTGCTGGATGTTGGGCAACTGGAGCTACGGGATCCCCCAGAACAAGGGAAGCCAGACCTTTGCACTTCAGGTCCAGCATGACAGATAGTGGGTGCCTCTTCAGCATCTCCTTGCGTTTGTCATCCAACTGAACTCCCAGTGTGGGTCGCCGGCGTTTCTGGATGAAGGAAAATCAAAGCGGGTAAGCACCGGTCATACGATTTCCCCCTTCCTTCTCCGTATAGGCCAGGGACTGCTGCCTGGGACCTGCTGCTTCAACTATCCCAGCTGCCAGGCCCCCAGCAGCCCTTTCTTTCCAACCTCTTTCTTCTGCTTCTAGGGAGAATAGCACCTGCCAACTAGCAGGCCCAAGTGCGGCTGCGTGGCACACTCATAAGGGGCAACGGCTCTCACCGTGGTCTGTTCCTCCTCAGCATCCGAGTCGCTCTCGTCATCTGCAACCACAAGGACAGTCATCTAGAGGTGAGGGGGCTCCCAATGTTCCCTAACGTGCCTCAACCCATGGGGCATAAAGGGGCCAAGACTGTCATTTGTAAATAGGTTTCTTTAGAATACATAATAAACTAATTTGCTCCTGTTTATTTGGTAGAGAAAATGTGGTGGTGCGAGAAAATAAAAAGAGGAATGCCTCATAATTCCCCCCCCCATTTCTGAAAGTGCTTTTTAATGTCATGCTATGGACCACAAGCCCCTCCACTGGTAGTGGTAGCAGTAACAGTAATATAAATAACAACAATAGCAGCAGTTCATATAATTTGAGCAGTCACTATGTGCCCAGAATGATGCTAAGGACTTTGCATGCATGACCTCACTTAATCCACATGATAATTCTACATGAGGTATTACTATCCTATTTTGACGAGTAAACTGAAGCTCAGAAATGTTAAAGAGCTTTCCCAGGATCAGTAAGCTAGTGAGTGGCAGGGCTGAAATCCATAAGCAGTGCTTTTTCCTGTCTACCTTGAGCATTAGGACATTAAAGTCAAGCTCCCTGGTATTCAGAACTAGCACAGCTAATTTCCAAAGGCCCAGCACTGCCCCTGGGTGGCGACCCGGTGCCCCTGGAACCAACTATGGAAGACTAGGGGGAGGATCCTGACTACATTACCTTGGGAGTCTTCAGGAGGCTTAAACAGAGCCTTGGCTTCGTCCACACTGCCTTCAATTGCCACAGACAAGGTCTTATCTGTGAGCAAGAAAAAGCTTTGTATGACAGCTGCTGAGGGAAGGAGCTAAGCTATACAAACAGGCTAGCTCTGGGACTGCATTTCTTCTGCCTTTGTCGCAGGCCTTACTGACTGGGGGATGAGAGGGCAAAAGCTCTTTCTCCAGATGAAGAGGAACATGGTAGGAAACTTAAGTCTTTTTTCCATTGTTTACTCAGAACAATCCAAAGTGCAGACTTTTGGACAAGCACCACCTGAGACTATGGTGAATGCCTCTCTTTTCAAGCTTATACCAACGCACAATCCCAACCCAGGGCCTAAAGCCACAAAATACTCTTATGCCAACTGTCTTAAAGGTTCTCATCCAGAACCCATAACTGTCCACATCAGGGAAATGACCTCTCTCATCTATTCTGTACTACACTAAGCATCTGGCTGGCACCACCACATTTAACTGGGAGACAGGACAGTGGATAGGTTGGACCCTGTAGTCTAGTCCCAGATCTGAGTTCCTGCCCCACCAATTCCTAAACACCTGGAAAGTTATGTCACTGCTCTGAGCCCCACTTTCTGCATCAATGAAATCCTGTCTTGACAAATAGTAGCTGCCCAGTTGGGTGGTGAGGACCAAATGAGCTGATGCTTATAATTATAAAATTATTTTTTTCAAATTAATGTTTAACTTTTGCAACAACCCTTTGAGAGCCATACCATTATTATAGTCATGAAATGAGAAAATTAAGGCTCAGAGAAGTTAGATACAATAGCCAGAGTAGCTAAGCTAGGATTTAAGACCAGGTCTATTCAACTTGAGCCCACTGTCTCAAGCACAAATATAAGTGGGCCGGTTCATGCACCGGGACTGACACTTCCCTGGGTCACACCTGGCCTGCCTTTGTGGAACTCCAGAGGTCTAGTGCTGAGAGGTCAAAACAGGCCACCACCCTCTTGCTCCATTCAAAAGGGTATACAGATTACAGATAGTCACAGGAGCCCAAAATGGTTTGCCCAACTGTACTAAGGAGGAACAGCAAACTTCCTCAACCTGGCAGGCCACTGAGATAATACTCCCAGGAGGCTGGCCATTGCTCTGACAGCCCTGCATGAACTAACATACCTCACCCCAAACAAGCTGGATGCCCCCACCAACCACTGGCAAATGCCAAACTATTCTTTTGGGTAACTTAATCCTGAAATTCTACAGTAAAATGGGAAAGGAAACAGGATGGGGTTAAACACAAAAGAAAAGAAAATTACTCACCCTGTCTAGGGGGCTGGGAGGATTTCATATGAGCTGATGATGGAAACAAGAAGGAGAACAAAAGGGAGGGAGAGGACCAGAAGGACCAGGAAAACACAAGAAGAAAGACAGTAATGTGTCGGTGCCCATGGCTGGGAAGAGAGGCATGCACTGGTGCGATACATATCTGTCTGATGCAATGGGGTGAAGAAGAAAAGTTTAGGTGCTGGGTAAAAGCTGCAGGAAGGCAAAGGTTAGGGTCTCCAAAAACTTTTCAAAATCCTAGTGAAGTAAAGGGCTGCCCTTAAGCTTAAAGCAAAGACATCTTCCCACTTGGTAATTCACTATAATGACATGCAGCTTGTTTGGGCTTGGTGAAAGCCTGGGAAAGCTGCCTGGGACCTGTGTTGACCAACTCTTCTCTCTGAAGCGGAGCAAGAGGTGCCGATCCACCTGCCAAGCATGCCTTGATGAGGTGAGTGTCTGGGAGCCCAGACAGGCTGCCTGGGCACTGCACTCAACAGCTGACCAGCCAGGCTCATCAAAGATTCAAAGCCATCCATTCGGAAATGCCCACCAGGTTAGTCTAGCCTCAGGCCAGCTGGTCAAAGCAGCCATGCTGGGTGGTGCGGCGGGGGGCAGCATCTGTCACCTGTGGGCTTCTGGCAGGACCAGGGAGCTTTCCTCAGCGGGCAGGGCTTCCAAATGACTCAAACGGCCAAGGTTGCTGCTCCCACAGCCCCTCTTCCTCACCCACCCCCCATACTCACCACAGGCCTGCCCATATGCAGTGGCTTGGACAAAGAGGACATAGAGGGGAGGTGGCAGGTGTCTAGCTGTCTCATATTGCTTGTGAGCCTGGTCGAACGGCATGAACAGGTACTCTTGCACGGGGAGGGAAGCCTGCATGCAACAAAAGAAGGGTTTTTGTTTTCTCTTTTTAGGCAGTCCACATATGAAAAGGTGGCTGCTGAGTTACCATAATAGCTTTTTATTTACTAAAAATACACGATAAGCTAACAGAATAGGTAGAAAGTCAATACAAAAAGATCAATTTATACAAGCAGCAAACAGTAAGAGAATGAACTTATAAAAAGAGCCATTTCCAATAGCATCAAGAAAACATCAACTACCTATTAAGTGAAAGGTAGGTAAGCCTCTACACAAAGGTCTGAGAAATGAAAGATCTAAACGAATGGAGATATATACCATGTTAATGGTCTGGAAAACTCAATATTATCTTGAAATCAATTCACCCCAAAGCGATCTACAGATTCAATGCAATCCAAGTCTAAATCCCAGCAGGTAAAAATCGACTAGCTGATTCTAAAATTTATTATGTTAAATGCAAAGGGCCAGGGTGCCTGGGTGGCTCAGTTGTATAAGCGTCTGCCTTCGACTCAGATCATGATCCCGGAGTCCTGGGATTGAGCCCCACATTGGGCTCCCTGTTCAGCGAGGAGCCTGCTTCACCCTCTCTCTCTGCCTCTCCCCCCGCCTGTGCTCTCTCTCTCACACTTGCTCTGTCAAATAAATAAATAAAATCTTAAAAAAAAAAAAGCTACAGTAAATAAGCCAGTATGGTACTGGTGCCTGGATAGACGAATAGACCATTCACAAACCTACACGGACATTTAAGACAAAAGTGGCACAGCAGAGTGGGGAAAGAATGGTCTTTTCAATAAATGACCCAGCTGAATACCAACATGTGAAAAAAAAAGAATCTGACCCTTACCTCACACTAGGTACAAAATTCCCTTCCAGGAAGCCTAGAAATCTAAATGTGAAAACAAACAATAGAGCTTCTATAAGAAAACAAGAGAATATCTCCATGACCTTGGGAACAGAGATAAATTTCTTAAATAGGACACCAAAGCACTAACCATAAAGGAAAACACTAATTAGACCATATAAAAATTAAGAAATCTGCTCATTAAAAGATACCATTATGAGAGTGAAAAAGAAAGTCACAAAATATCTGCAAAAGATTAATCTTCAGAAAATATAAAGAAGTACAAGCAAAAGACTTAAACATGCCTTTCCCAAATGAGGTAATCCAAAAGCTAATAAGCATATAAAAGGGGCTGTGCACAATATCACTGGTCCTCAGGGAAAAGGAATTTAAAACCATAAGCAATGCCCTCCAGAATGGCTAAAATTAAGAAGACTGACAATATCAAGTGTTGGTGAGGATGTGGAGCAATTAGAACTTTCATATGGTGCGGGCGCCTGGGTGGCTCAGTTGGTTAGGCGACTGCCTTCGGCTCAGGTCATGATCCTGGAGTCCCGGAATCGAGTCCCGCATTGGGCTCCCTGCTCAGCAGGAAGTCTCCTTCTGACCCTCCCCCCTCTCATGCTCTCTCTATCTCATTCTCTCTCTCAAATAAATAAATAAAATCTTAAAAAAGAACCTTCACATGGTGCTAGGGGAATTTTGTAAATCAGTGCAATCATTTTAGAAAACTGTTTCAGTATGTGCCAAAACTAAATATATGCCTAGCATACTCTACAACCCAGCAATTTCATTCCTAGGAATATATTCAACAGAAATATGTATACAAAGGCACCAAAGGACAAAGAATGCTCATAGCAGCATTATTCATTAGCCCCAAACTAGAAGAACCCACAATCAAATACTACGTATCAATGAAAACAAATGAACTCCTGGTGTTCATGACAATACAGACAAATCTCACAGTGTTGAGCAAAAGAAGCCAGACTCAAGTGTATATGATTCCATTTGTGTAAATTCAAAAACGGGCCAAACTAACTTATGATGTTAGAAGTCAAGATAATGGTTAGGGGGGGGGGGGGGGGAGGATACAGTGACTGGAAGGGGAAATAAAATTGCTTCTAAAAAATCAATACTGTTATTTTTCTTGATTTGGGTGCCACTTACAGAGATGTGTTCACTTGTGAATAATCACTGAGCTATACACTTATGAACTATATGCTTTTCTATACATAACATTATTCTTTTAAGTGTAATATATGTGCATTGTTTTAAAAAGTTGTATTCGGGGCACCTGGGTGGCTCAGTCAGTTAAGTATTCAACTCTTGATCTCAGCTCAGGTCTTGATCTCAGGGTCATGAGTTCAAGACCTGCACTGGGCTCCACGCTGAGTGTGGCACCTGCTTAAAAAAAAAAAAAAAAGTTGTATTCAAGTTTTTTTTTGTTGTTTTGTTTTGTTTTTTAAGATTTTATTTACTTATTTGAGAGAGAGAATGAGAGACAGAGAGCACGAGAGGGAAGAGGGTCAGAGGGAGAAGCAGACCCCCTGCTGAGCAGGGAGCCCGATGTGGGACTCGATCCCGGGACTCCAGGATCATGACCTGAGCCGAAGGCAGTCGCTTAACCAACTGAGCCACCCAGGCGCCCTATTCAAGTTTATAAAGCAAAAACTCCCAGGGGCACCTGACGGGCTCAATTGGTAGAATATGTGACTCTTGATCTCAGGGTCAATGCCCCACAATGGGCGTAGACTACTTTAAAAACAAAACAAACAAACCTCCCAGTCCCCAAACCCCAAAGTAATTGTTAAAGATTTGGTATGAATAGTAACTCTTCCAAGCATACACTGGACTCACACATGTACATATTCATATGGATACTTTATAAACAAAGGTATACAATGAAATAGTACTTTATGTCCTACAACGGGCACTGTTTTGTTTAATTATATGATAAATCTTTATTCTGTCCAATTATTTTATCAGTGTAACGATGTTCTATATTTCCAATACAGCCATAAGGCTGTGCTGTACAAGAATTTATTTAACCTGTACCCTACTTAGGCATGTTTAGAGAGACTGCAGTTAATAGGAAAAATTAAGGCGTGCCTGGGTGGCTCAGTCCATTAAGCGTCCAACTCTTAATTTGGGCTCAGGTCATGATCTCAGGGTCGTGAGATTGAGCCCTGCATTGGGCTCTGCACTGGGAGTAGAGCCTGGGTGTCTCCCTCCATCTGCTCCTCTTCCCACACTCTCTCTCTCAGATAAATAAACAAAATCTTAAAAAAAAAAAAAAAAACAGGAAAAATTAAGTACAACCCAAACTTTTAGCTTGTTTTCTTTCTGTCCTATTATGAAGTGCTACTGAGCATATTTGTTAACAATTCTAATTCTATGCCTAGAGTTAAAGGGAGGAAATGTAGATCTTGCCAAATCCTAGACAAGGGAATTTTTGATTTATCTAGGGTCCTTTTGCAAAGTTCCTCCCTGTTAACCATTTACTCTACTACATAAAACTATGAAAATTTAGAGGGCTTCCTGGTTGGCTCAGCTGGTAGAGCATGTGACTCTTGATCTCAGGGTCTTGAGTTCATGCCCCATGTTGGGCATAGTGTTTACTTAAAAAAAAAACAAAACACAAAGCCTTAAAAAAAAAAACAAAACCATAAGGATTTAGAGCAAATCTGGCCTCACAAATAAAAATCAGATCACCTACACAGAAAGACATTACATTTACATTACATTGTAAAGTGGGGACTTTTCCTCTGAAGGTACTGAACAGCTTTCAAATACGAGTGAAGTTCTCTTCAGAGAGAGTACATCTGCTGAACATCTGCCCCCAAAGTGCAGTCAGGGAGTCTAACAGACATCCACAGAAGCAGGCTTAGATGTCTGGAGGCTGTGGGGCTGGTGGAAACCATTCTGGAAGTAAATTAAACCTAGAGTTTGCAAAAGTATTTTACCTGGAAGAAGCTCTGGGAGAAAAAGAAAACATCCCAGGTAAATGTGTGTCTATGTTCCTGAGCCCACACGGCAGCATCTCTTCTACCCAGGACACAATCTTACCGTACTGGCTGGGTAGAAACTGCTAACAGGACAATCCTTGCACTGGGCTCTGACACCCACTAGGGTAACACACCTGGCAAAACCCAAAGGGATACATGGCTGCTGGAGGCCTCAGGTCAGCAAGGTCTCACTGGGTGCTGAAGGCAAAGCAAAAGGCCAATGTTGGGGAGTATATGGGGGAGAGTCTCACCTGCATGATGCTATTGAGGCGAGGCTGGAGGCTGCTTAGGTACTCCTTCTTCACCTCAATCTCCTTAAGGATCTTCTCCTTGTTGGACAGGCACTCCCGGTACTTCTCTGCCAGCCTATTGGGAAAGGACAGGCCACTGTCACTCGAAGCTCCTCAGAGATCTCCCAACACACCTACTGTCACAATCCACCTAATGACAGCAGTCATGATTAACTAATGTTTACCTAGTACTTACTATGTGTCAAGCACTCGGAGAACTCTTTATAAGCATTATTGCATTTAATGCTTATAAAAATCCTGGAAGATAGGGACTCTTCTTTTCCCCAAAGGAAGAAACGAAGGCTTAGGGAGGTAGGTAACTTGCCCAAGGTCATCCAGCTAAAAGCAAGTACAGAGCTGGGCTTTGAATCCATGCCTGTCCGGCTCCAGAGGCTCTGCTCATTAACCACTAGGGAATATCTGTGTCATTTCCTGTTCCTTTTCTTACCTCTAAGGTCTAGAGCCAAAACTTTCACAAACATGTGAACCTAGCAACTACAGTACCCAAATGAGGCCCACAGACTGGCCTGAGTGGGACAGGTGGTGATGGATTCTGGACCACAGGAATACAACACTCATGGCTTAGCCTGTGCCAAGGCAAGCCATGTACTGGACAGGGGAGTGATGGGCCAGCCCCATCTGCTAACAACCTGACACCAATTCCATAAGCACCACACTTAGTGCTTATTAAATTCGTAACATGGACCGAAGGCATAGAATACATTCTATAACAGGAAAAAAAAAAAAGGAATAAAAACACCTGCTTCTCCAGTGGAAAACAGAGCAAATGTGTCAACCAAAAGCCCTAGAATTAGTACGAAAATGTACCAATATGGGGAAGAAAGTCACTATAACGAAAGGGATGCAGCCATGAAAGATCCAGTATGAAAAATACACTACCCCCTTAAAAAGATCTAGATTAAATTACACAGTATAGATGTTCTACTTACAATTAATAAATAAAAGATCTTTATTAGTATGGAAAATTTTTATATGTAAAGGTGCTCCTTGAAGCATAAAATATGATAGCAAAAAAGTGATAACTAAAAGTCCAATCCAACAGAGGAAAGATTATGTGAATTGTAATTTGTCTATACACAGGAATGCCGTGCAGAACCTTCTAAAATAATGTCTGCAAACCTTTAAAGTACCACAGGGACAGTCTTAGAGGCAGAGGAAAAAGTAAAAGAAAAAAATTAAATTTACAATACAAAAGGTATTTAGGACTCAGGTGTTAAAATTTTAAAGAAAAAGTTACTCCAATTTTCTTTTAACAGCCATAAGCAATTCCAGCCCCACCCATAATGCTGTTGGTCAAGTTTGAATTATCAGGTGTGAATTAATCACAAAATGGGATTTGGTCTTAAACCATTCTACTGGTTCCAGAACTTTGCTGTATGATTGTGGGTCGTGCACGACAAAGCACTGTCCTCATGGTTAAAGGTCTGTGTCTGCACAGGCTAACAAGGTCAGGAAAGATACACAACCTTTTCCGCTGTTCCAGCTCCCAGTCCAGACGTGCAAGGGTTTGCTGGTGAGGGTCTCCCATGGTGACTTCAGCTTTGCTAATATCTGGAGGAGCCTCCTTATAAAATTCCTCTAAACTGACCAGATCAATTTCTTCATGCTTTGACCTACAGGGAAAAACTAGATGTCAAGTTGCTGTTCTCAGGATCCCAAACCGTGGATTAAGTGGGCCCACAGTTCCCTCCATGTATGCTTACTTAGCCCTGCTCTACAACTACCCAGGAACCTGGAATCCAGTCTTCTCAGCAAATGCTCATTAGTAAATGTTTCATTTTGAAGAGAGGTAGTTGGTGACATACCATAGGATCCTTATCGATGGTATCCAACCTTTTTATCCATGAATTAGCTGAAGACCTGGAAGGGATGCTTTTCAAATTTACAGATGTCTCAAATTTACAGATTTTTCCAAGCTTAGCAAAAGAGGTAACTGAAAAAGTCAATAAAAACACTACAGTCTAGACCTAGGCTGCCAGGTTGAAACCAAGAATTGGAAACAGGAAAAAAAAGTAACGGTCTGCACGGAACTTCAAAATATTAACTGCATGAGCATGGGATGGGGAAAAGCCAGCATAATGATCTAGAGGCTTCATCTGTTGAATACATAGTGACTCCCAAGAAAAGAAACCCGATTCTTTTTCCTGTGTTAACATAGTAGTGCACAAGTTGTGGACAAATGATGGTAGTAACAGCAGCTACCAGGTATTAAGTGCCTACTGTATGCCAGCCTCACCTCACTTATTTCTCACGATAACTCACCAAATGGGGATTTCTATCTCCATATCTCAAATGAGATGGAGACTTCCACAGTTGAGGAACTTGCCCAAAGTCACACAGCTAGTGAGTGGCAGAGCTGGGATTTGAATCCAGGCTGTCTGACCAGGGCCAAGGGTGGTCACCCGCCTCTCCATAGGCCAGGGTTCTATTGTATTCTGCATTTGTCAGCTTTCATCTGAGTGATGGCTATAGCTTGGGGCATCACTTCTTTTGTTTTTAATACCTTTTTATTTTTAAGTAGTTTAAGATACACAGGAACTTTCAGAAATAGTACTTAGAGTTTATTTCCTCTGTGTATCCTTCCCCTCGGTTCCTCCAGTGATAGTATCTACACATAGTACATTGTCAAAACCAGGAAACTGACAATGACACAATACTATTAACTCAGGTACAAACCTGATACAGATCTCACCTCTATTAGTATTTAACTATTATGACATGATGAATTTGTAAAGCAAATAAAGATACCTCTCAAAAATCAGCATAGTTATCAAAAATACACCAGACTCAATGACTGATATGCCCCTCTCATCCCAAGTTTATTACAAATAAAACCTGCCTCGGGGGCCTGGGTGGCTCAAACAGCAAAGCGTCTGCCTTCAGCTCGGGTCACGATCTCAAGGTCCTGGAATCAAGTTCTGCATCGGGCTCCTTGATCAGCAGGGAGTCTGCTTCTCCCTCTTCCTCTGCTCCTCCCCCCACCCCCCCACTCGTGCGTGTTCTCTCTTTTTTTAAGATTTTATCTATTTATTTGACAGAGAGAGAGCGCACGAGTAGGCAGAGCAGCAGGCAGAGGGACAGGGAGAAAGCAGGCTCTCCGCTGAGCAGGGAGACCGACTCGGGGCTCGATCCCAGGACCCTGGGACCATGACCTGAGCCGAAGGCAGCTGCTTAACCGACTAAGCCACCCAGGCGTCCCTCTCTCTCAATCTCTCTCAAAAACAAAACAAAACAAAAAACAAAACCAAAAACCAAACAACAACAACAAAACACCTGCCTCTTCTCAGTCTGCACAAGTAGGTCTTACCAAGCAAGAATACATTCCCTTCTCTTCCTCTGTCTACTTCTTTCTTCCTTCTCATCTCTCAGCTTGGATTTGCTAAGAGGCATTACATTTTAAGATGGACACTGAAAAACTACAGTTTGTTCACCGAAAGGCAGCTAAGTGGCAAGAAGTTCAGCTTCCAAAGAATAAAATCCAGTTGCAAAAATGAATGGCTGCAACTTTAGAGAGGAAAAACTGGGCCAAAAGGTTAAGATTTGACTGGAAGGGAATTGCTCCCATGCAAGGTGCCCAGGAATCAAACTGGTAATGTAAAGGCCCTTGCTAGAGAAAAACTGCTTTTGACCAGGTGCAGAGCTCAAAATTTAAAGAAGTCAGACAGGCTTCTGAGGTTCTTTGTGTAGCCTGAAAACACTGCTTCCAATTCTCCCACTCAAAGTGATCTATTCACCTTCATCCCAGATCCTGCAGTCTCCAAGCCCATCTGATTTTTTTTTTTTTTTTTTAGGAGCCTAACTCACACTGAACTATGTAGGAAAAAGCAGTCAGCAACACACTATTTTGCCAAAGGCTGTTCTCCAAAACTCACTTAAACTCCAGACATTTGGTGATCTCTTTCTGCAGGTGCATCACCTCATACAACAGGTTCTGCAGCTGCAGGTGATAGGCGTCTACTTTCTGCTTGGCCTGAAAGGAGGACAAGGTCAGAGGTGAGTGGGGCAAGTCAGGTCAGACAGAGCAGAAGCAAATGCAGGGAAGAGGTAAAGGGGATTAAGAAGGGAATGTGGGGAAGAGTTGGAGAAGGAGGATTAAACTTCTCAATTTCTACCTCATGGGTCTGATCTCTTCCTTTCTTCAACCTGATGTGGGCTAATCGATTAAGCTTCTTTAGAGTCATGAAATGCACACAGCTCTGGATCCTCCGATCTTCTATCTCAACTGCCTGCAGGCAAAGAAAACCGGTAAAGATCTTGTCAACAGGTGCTGGCTCAGCTTCCTTCAGCCCCTCACTGCTGACCCATCCCCAACCACAACCAAAAACAAATACTGTCAGTGGGAAATGGAAGAATGACTGTATAAGGAAAATGCTTACAGTTCCCAGGCAAAAAAAAAAAAAAAATTTCTACTTGGATTGAAGTAACAGGGATTGAAGATGGAGCAAGTGCAGGCAATGCACAATTAATATCTGTCCCTACGTACTGTATACAGAGATCCTAACGATAGCAACACCCTGCCATACAATTAGATCTCTGTGAATAACATTACAGAATGACTTAAATGAAAATGGCAGAATTACAGCTGTAAAGCTTGGCTACAGTAAAATACAATGTAATAATCATAACAATATTGGACAGTATAAGCACAAATAAGTGAGATTCTTGGAAATATATAGGTTTGTTTTTAGTCACTGTTTAGTTCCTTTGTCCCAAAGTCTGGTTCATTCATTTAAAGTTAATAAGTTCATTTCTGGTCTCTATGACATACTTGTACATGTTCATCCTTAAAACAACAAAGGAATTTACACGTATCATCATTTCTCAAAACCTAGCAAAATGCCTAGCATGTAATATCAGTTAGATGAATTATCAAATTACAGTTATGAGAAAAATTGTCCTGTACTTTTGTTACTGTAATTGGTGGTTGCGTGGTGATGACATGTTCCCATAGGTTAATGGGCACATCTCTGGAGCTCCCAGACTCCAACCACCTGATCATGGCTAGGACAGAAGACCAAGATGAGGAAGGGCTCTGATGGGTGCAAAACAAGTCCATCCATGCAAACCCACCAGGTTCGTGTCTGCCCAATCCCAGTCCCACTCCTTACCACATCCTTGCCTCCTCTGCTCTTCAAGTCCTGGATCTCAGCCATGAGCCTCTGTAACTCCTGGCATGTGTACTTGTACAGTTCATAGTCTCTGCCAGGGTCCCGCAGGTCCACTTCAGCCTCCTCACTGTAGTATTTACCTTCCTGTGGAGGCAAGGATACAGGCTTTGGGTGGGGAATAAGAGTCTCCCTGTTGGGACCAGGGACACTGGGCTGAAATCAGTAACAATGACACCCCAAATCAGGTCTCTAAAAAATCTGGTCCTCAAATCAAATGTTTTTCTTCTTTTCAAATGGAAAAGAATTCATTCCTCTTTTCTTCTTTCTAATTATAAAGTAATGAATGCTTGGTGTCAGAGACTCAGAACATAGAAGTATCAAAAATGAAAAGTTGCCTGTAATCTCACCTCCCATCCTGAAATAACTATTTTTAATACTGTGGATAAACACAAATTTTATTTTTAAACAAAATGGGATCATACTGTCCATGCTAATTTTTGCAATTTCTCATCCCAATAAATTTAAAAACCCATCACAATGGCTACATGATAATCCACTACATCAATGAACCAGGATTCATTTAACTAAATTCCTACTGATGAGTGTTTAGATGGTCAAATCAAGCTTTAGCAGAGGCTAAAATATCATAATTGGTCACTTAGCCTTTGGAGTGAACAGAACACATTTCTTGAAGAGAGAGTCCACTATAGTTAATAATACTGCATTGCATATTTAAAAGTCGCTAAGATAGTAGGTCTTAAAAGTTATCATAACAGGGGTGCCTGAGTGGCTCAGTGAGTTAAGTGTCCAACTCCTGATTTCAGCTCAGGTCTTAATCTCAGGGTTGTGAGTTCAAGCCCCATGTCAGGCTCCATACTAGGCGTGGAGCCTACTTAATTAAAAAAAAAAAAGTTCTTATCAGAGGAAATAAAAATTTTAACTACACATGGGGATGGATGTTAACTAGATTTCTGTGGTGATCATTTCACAATATATACAGATACCAAATGTTGTGCACCTTAAATTAATATAACGTTATATGTCAATTACATCCCAATAAAAAAAGAACCAGTGCCTGCAATGTGTAAGGTTTTTTGTTAATCTAGATTTCCTAAATCTGAGGAAAACATCATTTTCTACTTAAATTTAAGCTCTTATGTTTCTCTATTCTAGCTTTTTTTTTTTCCTTTTTAAAGATTTTATTTATTTATTTGACAGAGAGAGGTGGCAAGAGCAGAACACAAGCAGGGGGAGTGGGAGAGGGAGAAGGAGGCCTCCCACAGAGCAGGGAGCCCAATGCGGGGCTCGATCCCAGGACCCTGGGATCATGACCTGAGCCAAAGGCAGACGCTTAACAACTAAGCCACCCAGGCGCCCCTCTATTCTAGCTTTAAAAAAAAAAAAAGTAGGGGCGCCTGGGTGGCTCAGTTGGTTAAGCGACTGCCTTCGGCTCAGGTCATGATCCTGGAGTCCCGGGATCGAGTCCC